TTTCTAAACGATTTCGACAATATTCAAATAAGACTAATTTTAACTCCTATCACTTGTTACCAATTTCTACAAAATTTAATATTCTTTTATCAGTTTCCTCAACTTTTTCTGTTTGGGAATCTCTTTTGATGGAAAAAAATTAAAATTTTCAATGAATTTTTAATTCTACATATATAAAGGCTTAGCTTCTCAAAAGTTTTTTTTTTCAATTTTTCTCTCTGTTTCCTCACCCCCAACTTAAATGCCATTGTTTCCAATGGCATAACTAGACTGATGCAAAATGGGCTTGGGTTAAACGGAACAATCAATAGGGTTTTCCTGAGGGGTTCAAGGTCTACCACTTGGTCTTGAATCAAGAGAAGGAAATTCAAGTCCTAAAAATAAAAAACTACGTTGGGTTGCCTCCCAACGAGTGCTAAGTTTAATGTCTTCAGCCAGACGCATTTACACACTTCTTCCATCCAAACTCAGAGACTCACTTTCTTCTTCATACCAACAAGGCTCAGACTAGGCATACCAACGGGTAGATAAGTTATTCACAAGATTGTCCACTATGTCCACATTGCATTCATCTTCCCCTAGGTTTGGATACTTAGAGGCACTGAAAACATTCAACTAGACCTTCTGCTCCCCAAATGAGATGTCCATTTCCCCCAACTTGCAGATGTCCATTTCCCCCAACTTGTAGTTGATATTTGCATTGACCGTTGCTAGAAACGACCATCCTAAGATTATCGGGTTATGGTTCAGTTCTTCGGTTGGGGTCATGTCTAAGACAACAAAGTCTACAGGGAAATAACAATTCTCTATCTTGACAATGACATCCTCGATAACACCTCAAGGAGTCTTGACTGACCGATCAACAAGTTACAGAACTACCGGGGTAGGTTTCAACTCACCAATCCTGAACCTTTCATAAATAATGGACGGAAGAAGGTTTACACTAGCCCCAAGATCCAATAGGGCCTAATCAAAGATGACTCTAGAGATGATACAACTGATGAGAGGAGCACCCGGGTCTTTCATCTTCCAGGGAAGTTGGTTCAGGAGGACTGCACTCACATCTGCCGAGAGCATCACTTTTTGTGGGGCTGATCGTGGCTCCCTCTTTTGGGTGCATAGATCTTTCAGAAACTTGGCATAAACCGGGACATGTTGGATTACATCAAGGAGAGGGATGTTAATGTGTACTTGTTTGAAGAGTTCCCTGATCTCCTCGTTGTGAATCTCTTTCTTTTTCCACAATGGCCCAACTATGAGTGCGGTTGGAAAGGGGACCACAACTTTGTTCAATTTAGGCTCTTCTTCTAGGTTTTCCCTTTCTTCTTCTCCCCCCCCTAACTTAGGGTTTTCCGGCTGCTTTCCTTCTTCTTCACTTTTCTTCTTCTCATATGGGTCTTCCAAAATTCTCCCACTCCTTAAAGTTGTAATAGCTTTAGCATTTCCGAATTGGGGATTCTCAGGAGGTGGTTGAATTTGTTGAAGGAAACCTAGTGGCTGATTCCTAGGGTTTGCAACTAGTTGACTCGGTAATTGCCCCACTTCTCTCCTTGCATTAGCTTCGGATAACTGTCCTATTTGGCTTTCTAACCTAACAATGGATTGCTACTGATTTAGGATCAGCTACTGAAGCTGCATGAATTGATCATCTACTAAACGGGATTGCGGAGGTTGTGGGTAACCCTGATATGGTTGGGCCGGTTGATTCCTAGGGTACACCTACTGGAATTGACTTTGTATTGATGGCATCTAAAACTATTGGGCCATGGAGTTGGATGGATGCTGATATTGCTGGGACTATAGATTGGGTTGATGTGTCCTCCAAGAAAAGTTAGGGTGATTTCTCCACCTAGGGTTGTAAGTATTGGAATATGGATCACTGTTGGGCCTTGAGAAACTTTGGGCTGCCTGAACTTGTTCTTGGATAAAGGGTGGAAACTAGGCCGTCGTAGGACAGTCATCAACCTGGTGGGCTGGGCTGGCACAAATGGAACACACTTCAGGATAGGATGTAGATGGGCCCGATTGCTGGTTAAAGGTGAAAAACTGGTCAAGCTTCTAGGCTAGAAGATCTACCCTATCCAACTTTCTAGAAATAGCATTCAAGTCCATTTTTTCCTCGGGCTCTATATTATTCCTGATCTCATAGAGTCCTGCCCTTTTTGAGGGTCCCACTGACCTTTCGTAGGAATACAAGGATGCATTGTTAATGGAATTCTCACTCAGGGTCTTGAAAAGAGCATATGCTTCATCCTCGCTCTTGCTCATAAATGCCTCCCCACAGGATGCATCTACCATTTGCCTATATTGATCTGTCAGACCTTCATAGAAGGCCTAGACAATTTGCCACTGGGACAGGCCATGGTGTGGGCATTTTCTCATTAACTCCTTTATCCTCTCCCAAGCCTCATGAATTTGTTCACCTGGTGTTTGGGTGAATCAAATGATGGCTCTTCTCATGGTATTGGTTCGGCCTTTAGGATAGAACTTTCTAAGGAATTCTTGTTGCATTTCTGCCTAAGTTCTAATGTGTCTCCCTATAGTCCCTAACCAGTGCTTGGCTTTATCTTTCAAGGAGAAGGGGAAAAGAGTCAACCTAAGGGCATCATCATTGAAGTTTTGGATCCTTGCAATGGAACAAATTTCTATAAACTTATCTATGTGCTTGTATGGGTCTTCACTAGGGTTCCCATAAAAAGATGGGAGCATCTGAATTGTGCTTGACTTAATCTCATATTGTAAGGCCAGAGTATCTGGTAACTGAATGCAAGATAGAACTTACAAGTCCCTTTTCTTCTTGTTTAAATTTGAATTTTAAATTTTGAGTTTAATTTCAAACTTGGATTTTGAAATTTAAATTCTGAAATTTAAACTCAAATTTTGAAACTTTCTCCCCTTTTTTATGTATTTATTTATTTTTTATTTTTTAACTTTTTAATTTTTTTTATTTTCTCTCATTTTTTTAATTCAAAATTTAAATTTTTGAAATTTAAGTTAAAATTCATATTTTGAAATTTAAATTCCTAAAACTTAAATTCAAATTTGATTTTTTAAATTAAAAAAAAAATGCAAGCAAATCAACCACATGACCTAGGGGCTGACCTAGGGTTTCCTAAACTAGTGGTTCAACCAATGTGAATCCTTTTAGGTTCACTTGGAATCACACCACTTCCCTTGGTTAGCTAGGTAAGAGGTGGGGATGTGGGAGGCTCCCCTTGCTCTCACAAGGACCTAATTAAGTAACCACAAAACCCATTTAGGTGTAACCATTTAACCTCTTTCCTTAGACACCAACCGCCGGTTATGAAAAGTAATTGCAAGCTTTCCTAAAATTCAGCACACATTTGAACCAAATGTGAGGCTTCTCTAAAGGATCTTGCTATCCAAATTTTGAATTAGGGTTAGGGTGAACTGAAGGGATGAGAGATCCATCGTATGGATGCCCAAATCTTGCAGAATATGGGGCGAATTTCAAAAATTTTTTCTCTCCCTTCAACTGGGAATCGCATTCCCTATTTAGAAAATCATATTTTCAAGGATCAATCTTGAAACATAAACTGAACCAGATCTGAACCGAAAGGAGTAGGAGAGGATTATACCTGATATGGAGAAATAATATCTCCCAACGAAGGTGTTCACGCTCAAGGAAGGATCCAAAGACTGCTCCCACTGAAGATGGCGCAGTGTAAGATGGAGCAGAATCAGTAGTGTTCTTCTCCAAGAACTCTGTCCTTCGCAAGAAACAGCAGGACGACACATGAGCACAGCTTCCTTTCAATTCTTTCACAAAGAACTGATGTCAAGATCGAATCTTGACTTCTCCCACAAAGTTGGAGATCGAACTGGATGTTTGGCGGCTGCAAGAAGGAGGCGGCAAGAAAGATCTTTGCAGGGATTGTAGAAATCTTTCTTCTGTGTTTTTAGCTCTGAAGAGGATGTGAGTATATCTTCTATAAAGGCTGCCACCCCCTCCTTATTTGTAACCCCAAAGGATCAGCTCCTAATCCAATTAGGAGTTGCTGATCCAAATCTTATTTGGATCAAAACATCTCTTTAGGTGATAAGGGTAAACCCTTATCTTATCTACAGATTGGATCAACCTTCTCCTAATCT